TGTCAATTATATGGTTTGTTGTTTGATGTATCGTGGTGATGTTGTATCTAAAGATGTTGATGCTACAGTTGCTATCACTAAGACTAAGTGCACCATTCAATTTGTTGATTGGTGTCCAAGTGAATTCAGTTACAATATTATCTACCAGCCATCCACTATAGTTCCTAGAGGAGACCTTGCTAAGGTATGGAGGACTATTTGCATGAATTCCAACTTCACCAATGTTGCTAAAGTCTTCTTCCGCATAGACAACAAGTTTGATATTTTGTATGCCTTGGTTCGCTGGATTATGGTAAAAGGCAAAATGAAGAATAAATTCATTGTAGAAAACGAATTAGATAAGCATGGAAAGCCAAAGGAATTGGTGAAGGTCAAAGGCTGCAACCATATTCTATTATATAAGTTGTTTAGTAGATGAGAACATCCTTCTAGGGAATTGTTTAAGCTCAACTCTAATGTATCTTTTGTTGCTAATCTTAGAAAAGTAGGAGCTGGTAATGTTATAAGATCTGATCAAAGGCTATGGATTGTGGGAGCTGTCCTTGGTCTTGTACCTACTACTGAGTTCACCTTTCTTATTTATGTCTCACCTGTAGGAAACTATTTTAAAAAAGGTGTTGCTACAATAAATTTATATTGAGCATGAATTGCATCGTGCCATTCCTGGCGACACTAGGGGTGTTAAAACTATTGGGAATTGTGCTGCGGTTTTGAAGGCACAACCTGTTGCAAAAGTCAAAGTCAAATGATATTCTGATGTCTTCTATCTTGATGGTGCTCATAAAAAGTATTTGGAGGAAATCTTTTCTTGCATGGTGAAGCGTAATGTCATCTTGAGTCCTTCAATAAAGGGTAATGTCATCTTACTAGGCATCACAAGAAATAATATAATTCATGTTACTATCACGTTGCTGGATAAGCTTGTTGAGTTAAAAATTGTCTAGAAGCCAAAAAACTCTTTAGACATGGAAGCTAGTACTTATAATCCATTGAATCAGTATCTGTGCTACCATGATCATAAAGGAAAAGCAAATTTACTCTCTAGAGTTGTGAAATGACAGGAGGCAACGAGTGGAAGCAAAAAAAAGTTGGAAGCTGTATTGGGTATTGGCTGTGAAGTGGCATCTGTATTGAATACTCAACTTCTGGTAGAATGGCCTAATTTAGGGCCGGATCATGTCATTTGGGATACTCAACTCTTAGCTTCCAATTTTTACCTTTTGATTCTTGGGAACAAAGATCAGCTGAAAAGGGGAAAATGTCATGAATTCAATGGTTGCAGCTTCTAGCAAGTTGGTGATCGAGAAGAAATGGAAGGTAAATAGCAAGTATGACAATAAGAATTTAACAAGGGCAGCAATTGGAATGGAAGGAAAAGGAGATGCTCGTTAGAGACACTGAGGTGGCGTATTTGATTAGTTATAGACCAAATTCTAACAACCGTCACATGCTAAACTCTTATCGGCTCCTTATATTTAGCAAATTTTTACAAAATTGTAGAATTTGTTATATATAGAACTAGTGTTGCAATGACAAGACAATTTTTTGGAATGAAATATTTCTCTTCTACTCTATTTTCTATTTTGGTCCATTCTATTTTCTCCTTCTCTGATCTATTCTTCTCTCTTCTTCATTAGTCACAGTTATTTTATGATAGCTATGTGATTGATCATCTATGTGAATCTATTATTTTTAAAATTATTTTAAATTTGATTAAAAGTTCTTAAAAAAAATAAATTCTGGTCTACAGTAAAACTAAGTTCAAGATTCGGTTATGTGTAAAGAAAGTTTTAACACCCCATAATGTCCAAAATTTGTATCAAATTAATCTTATGTTATCTTGTTTAATCTTTAATTCAAATGATCTTTTTTCCTTATTTATTAATCTTAATATTTAAATATTGAAAAAAAGGGTATTTAGGTTTTTAACAAAAAAAAATTTTCCTTACTTCATAAGTATTCAAAATAAATTAGTTGTTTAATTGAAGAGGTTTTTTTGTCAGATTTATTAAATATCTTATGACAAAGAAACCAATTTATTCTCTTTTATTTATATACAAATATTAATTACAAATAATGATACAAACATATTTACAACTTTTTAATCATAAAATAATATATTTACACTTTTTGCTAAAAATTCAATTCAATTTTTATTTTCATCAATTAAATCAATAGATAAAAAAATCGAAATAAATAAATATGTAAGCAAAATAATTTTATAAAAGAATTATTATCACAAATTTTATCCTAAATCATATTAGACAGCAAATAAATATAATATCATAATAAATAAAAATAAAATAAAGTGTACTTAACCAATACTTTTAGACTAACTCAAATAAAGTTTACTGCCAAAAAATTTTGTTTGACTCTTTTTGTTGAAATGTTGTATGTATGGCTTTTTTTATTTGTATTTATTTATTTATTTATTTATTTTTGTTTTGTGATTCTTCTTGATTGTTGTTGATTGCTCAATCGTTTATTGCCTTGTTGAATTGCCTATTGTTCTTGTAATATCGCCTTCAATTGCTTATTAATTTTAATTTTTCCCTTTTCCTGAGAACTTCTCTCTCAAAACTCAAAATTTTGTATTTGTTATTTTTATTGTGTATTGCTTGATGATTATTGTATTGTTTCTTTTTTTTTAACTTGTAATTTAGCTTTTATATAAGGATTGAGTTTTTTTTCATTATAAAAATTTTAATACTAACTAAATCTATTAAGATTATGTTAATTTTTTTTTTGTAAAAACTTGATTCTCAAAAATTATCAAAATCAACTCAAGTTTTAAATTTCAAATACAAATAAAATCACAATCTTTAAAAAAAAAATCAAATTTTATGCTTATTTTTTACCAAATAGCAAAATAAAAATAAATTAAAAAACACTTTTAAATCTTTAAATTTAAATTAAAATTGGATAAAACAATTTCACAAGCTATTATTGAAATAATATTCAAAATTCATTGAATATAAAAAAAAATTCCGAACAAAATGAATTATCTACGCATTCTATTATATTAAATGATTTCTCTTGCTTCCTATTCATACAAAACATGAACTCTGATTGGTGATTGGGTCGATTCAATGACTCTAAATAAATTAATCATTTTAAACATTTTTCAATAAACAATTGCTCCACACCAAAATGTCAATTGTTTATGCTCTCGAAATATGAATTTAAACAAGCATGATCACTTAAACTTGAAAATTCCATGATTACCAAGTAGGACAAGTGCTCAACATCATGATTTTGGAAATCCCAAAATGGTGTATAAAACAAATACTACTAAATTAAATAGTCATCCCAAAACTACACATTCGGGGTCCTATGTATACTATTAATTATATGCAATTATAACGTACAAGTACACTGGCAATGTATTATAAATGCAATTGAAAAAAAAAAAATCTTTGTTATGATTATTATTCAACATCTTTCATCTAAAACATCAACACATGGAAACTGCAATTCTCAGTCACTGCTTTTCATTAAAAATTATTAATTTCCTCATATCTTTGTCTTATGCTTGTCTTCATGATCTCTAACATTTTTTAATGATCATTTACCCCACATCTTATTCCCATAAATTCATGCTCCCCCATTTCAAATTAAGAAAATACTTATTCAAAAAAATAATAATAACATTTAAGTATTTTGGTTCAATTAATTAGAGCAAGATTACAAAATAATTAATATTGGTTTCGTGTAGCTGTAGTAAAATGGTTACCACTACTTGCATAGGTTTTTTGGTTTAATAACAAAGTCTTAGTATGGATGAATTTCACAAATAGGTGGTGATGATATTCTAAATTTTAAAAATTCAAACCAATCTTTTCTTAAACCTAATTGATCTTAAATAAATTTTACTAATTTAGTTCAATTCCATTTATTAATTTTTGAAAATTACAAATTTTAAATTATTTGTTATTATTTTCATATTATTTTTAATATATTTTAGTAAATTTATTTTATTTTATAAAATTTAAAATTTATATAAAAATTAAAAAAATAATTTGATTCTATTCAAATATTTTTTAATTTTTTATTTCATGATAAGAAAATCATTTAGAACGAACTGAAATATTTAACCTCCCATCAAAATTGAACCAAATAAAAAACCAATTTGAACCTATTGCAATCATTTTGATTTTCTAATTTTTTTCCCTCACCCTTGTAGAAAACCCCTCTAACAATATATTGAAAAGCCACTAAACCCCTTTTGCTTCATAGCAACTCTTTACCCCTTGGCTTTAAAGAATCTATTCTTAGTGTTTCTTTATGTAAACCACTAACTAATTTAAGATCTATTTCTCATCACTCAGACATGCTATTGCTACTCTAATGCTATCCCCAAATAGACAAAACAATTAGCAAAATGATATGACCCAATCATACATTTTCTCTGGCCAAAGGCTTTCCAATTTTGCATTAAAATTTTAAGATAATTGAAATCAAAAGATCAAAATATGTCATATATAATTCCTTGTACCCTTTAATTTTTAAAATTTTAATTCTTTTAACATTATTTAAAACAATTTAATTCTTGTAATATTACTTTTTAAAAATTTTAATTTAATCATTAACAATGCACAAAAATTAAAATTTTCAGATAATATTATAAAAATTAAATTTCTAAAAATCGAAAAATACAAAAAGCTCCTACTACACATTTTAACCAAATGAAAACTAAAACCCTTGTTTCTTTCTTTCCTTTCCTTTTTTTTTTTTACCTTTTGCTTTACTGAATCTAAAAGAAAGGCGCTTTATTGCTACCTTGATGTGATTTACAGTTGTGCCAAAACCACTTGCAGGTTCACTTTAGCATCATCAACGAACAAAGCGCACGTTAGCACACTACGGTCTCTATCTCTAAAGCTAACAAAATTTTAATTCCATTCTTTTCTTCCAAAAATTATAATATTCCAATATAATTAAAAAAAAAAGAAAAAAAAACAACAAAAAAGTTACACAGAAAAACAAATACCAAAAAATCACTTAACAAAAACGCTACATTTTTTTGCACATAATTTTAGATTTAATTTCAATTCAAAATTATCAAAAATTGAAAAATATAGTATAATTTACTCTGGAATAGTAACTAGCATCGGTCGCCAAGCTCTCCTTAATAACCTGTATCGAAACGAAGCCGTTACGGGTCTCAAGGAACCGGAGCCCCGACTTGAAATCCCATCACTGGAGTTAACGGTAACCGGCAATAAATCTTCTGTTTCTTCTTCACAGCTTTTGTTGTTACTATCTCTTTCTTCAAACGGCGGCGACGCCACGAAGAGTTCCTTTAATTTTCGCCTGCTTTTTTTCCCGTTGGAGTTTTTCTTGCTGTCGGCGTTGGAGGTGGTTTGCGGTTGCGTAGGTGGGGGAGGAGGAGGAGGATCGAAGCTGTCGTCGTGGCGTCGGTGAAAACGGCGACGTTCGGGGGCGGAAGAGCGGTTAAGGAGCATGCGGAGGGTTTTGCGACGGCGGAGGTGGACTACGGGGCTGCTGGTGGGACTACGACCTGGGCTCCCAGCGACGGCACACTGCGTCGCCAGAAGCTTGAATTTGTGAAGAGTCGCCATTTCTTTGAAGCGTTTTTCTCTCTCTGGAAAGCCGGGGCATTTAGAGAGAGTGAGATCTAAAGAAAAAGAAAACAGTTAGCATTTGATTCTTTGTATTATTAATTAAAAAAATTACCAGATTTATTTTTTATTTATTTATTTTTTTAAAAGGGTAAAGGGGAGAGCATTTTGTTTGGATTGTGGAGTGCTGATTACCGGTATGTGTTTGGGCCTGTTTGGTAATTTGATCATTTATTCGACACGTGGAAGGCAATGAGGGGCTTTGGAATTTTAAGCTTGGAGCAATGGATGGGGACTGCACTAGTCGGACGAAAGTCTTCAAAAGGCCATGGTTTGGAGAAAGAGGTTGGGTTTATTCAAACAGCAAATGGAGGCTAGCTAGAAAAATACCTAAAATATAAAATATTTAAATGGTTCAATATTCTAAAGTTTGGAATATTTTTGCTTAAACTTTATTTGACAAATTTAGAATATATTAAATTGTTCAAGAATGATTCAATCCGGATAAATCCAACCAGAAACACAAAAGTTCTTTTTTTTTAGGTAAAACATTTTTAATTAGTTACTAATAGTATTTAGTTTTGTAACTAGAGTAGTTGTTTCAAATTATACAAAAATGGAAAAGAAAAAAAAGAACTTTTTTAAGTGAAACATTTTTAGAAATTTATCTTAAACAATACCAATAACACATTAAGCCTTATATTTCATATTTTGTAATAGTCGGTTGCATGAAAAACTAAATAAAAAAATCAAATTAAGTTGTAATTTTAAATTTTTTTACGTCACTCATTTCTATTAACAATTACTTTTTCATCTGATTTTTTGACTATCATATCATTTTTTTATTACTTATATATATCTTTCGTGATTTATTTTTAGATGTTTTAATTTCTTATAGATTTGAAAACTCAATTCTCTTAAGCGGTGTACAACTAGACTTATATTCTACATATCTAAACCATTACAAACGGTCTTCTCTCATATTCTTTTCAATTCAAATTGCTTTTAATTTTTTTCGAATCTCTTTATTTTTTATTTTATATATTTTAATTTTATCACACATCTATTTAAACATTCTCACCTCTGTTACATTCATTTTTTTCTTATGTTATTTTTTAATAACTAAACTCTTATTGTATATTATCACACTGCCAGTTTCAAATCTGGTGAAAAGAGAAAATTTACGATAGGTTGATAATCAAGATAAACCATAATCAAACTATAATTAAAAAAAATTTTATCTTAAAGAAAAGAGATTTTTTTTATTGCGATGCAAATGGATTTTTGAATATCTAATTACCAAAATATAATGCCTAAAATTGAAGAAGGATTGAATTACATTTACTTACTTGAACCAAGATTTGAAAATGAGAGTTAAAGAAAAAATTTTGATTTTTTAGATATTTTAATGTAAATTTTGTGTTAAATAAACTTTAATAGAAGTATTTATAAATTTCCACTAGTGTTTTAAACACCTTTTTATGAATTAAAATCAAGAATCGTTATTTTTAAAATGAAAGATCATATTCAACAGATAAATTTTTTAATTTTCCCCAAAAGAAATTTGAAAATCCGATAATGGTATTCGATTGTTCTAAACAAATTTTTAAGCAAAGTCTAAAATTCTGTTGAGTATTCGACTTCTTCTTTTAGAACATTTGATTATTTTAGATAAATTTTTAAATGAAAATTAAAATTCAGTTGAGCTTTCAATTTATTTCTTTAGAGTATTCAATTGTCTTAAGCAAAATTTTATACTAGAATATAATTTTTATCCTGAAAGTCAACTACTATATTTGAGCATTCAACTGCCCGTGACTAAAGTTTAAACATAATGAATGAATAGTCGGAGCAGTTAACTACTTTTAATGAATAGTCAATTGTTCTTGCTTATTTTTTATTGCAAAACTTATTTTATTCTTCTATAAAGATTGTTATAGCTAGTATTTTTTAATTAATGTGATTACTAGCTATTGTAAACTTTGAAGCTTGATTTTTATTATTTTATCCTTTGATAAGATAAACCTCTCATTGGGTAAACCTTTTAACTTATATGAAATTATTCAAGTGAAATTTATGATTTAAAAAAAATATATTTAATAATTTTAATAAAAAATTAAAATTAATAGATTGATAATATTTAATGTGAAAATTAATAATATGTAAAAAAATATTAAAAATATTGTTCATACTAAATTTAATTGATATTTATTTAAAGATAAAAATTTTATTAATATTTTTACTAAAAATATTTATCTTAAAAAAATCATAATTTTTTCAAAATTTACACACTTAGCATGTATAACGAGATTTTTTTCATTTATCAATTTTAATTTTTACTTAACTAAGTTTTAATAAAAAATTTCATGAATTTCATATAAAAATATTATCTAAGTCTTCTCTCACAAGACACTAAACGAGGATGAATTGTTTTTTCTCAAAAGGATATGGGATTCCCATAGATGGATTTTTGTTAGTACAAAGAGCTTTTGCAATTATTGTCTTTTGACAGAAAGCACCTCGGATAAGAAAGGATAAGCTCTTGCATATAAATTACAATCCAATCTTTAGCTATCAATAATGTGAGATTTTCCCCGTCAATCAACAAAGATGATTTTCAAATGTGAGATGATGGGGGATTTGTGAATCAGATTTGAGGACAATTAAGTTCAAAATCGAAGATTTTATACTAGTAAATTATAATTTACAAGTAACAATGTTCTAACACAGTTTATAATGCATTTGTTCGCTAAATATCAAACTGCTGGATGCCCACATCCTACAGCCACATGTTTTTAAGTATTTTCTATTACTCGATCAACACTTTAGTGCATGTCCACAAGGTACAAGGCATATATATTACCGTTTGAAGGAGAAATTCCTGAACTGAGAATGCTGCTGGCATGCATGCTCCTCTATGATTCCACAATAAAGAGCAGAAAGCTCAGATTACATCGATCTTATCTGCAGCTGGAAAACAAAACACAGGAATTAGGTGTCGATTTGCGTTTTGTCATATGCTTTCTAGCTGTTGTGCGGTTCAGCCATTTTCCTAATGCAGAAATCAAATTGGAACAGTATAGATAGCATTAATTACCATTAATGTATAAGACATAGATCCCAAAACATAAACATAACATGATCTTGCTTGAGCTGGATCCATCTATTATATACTTCATGTTATAATCATACAATGCTTTTAATTCTCTACCATAAAATTTTTGGAGAAAAAAAGATAAGAAGATATCAACTATAGTTTGAAACTAAAAGGTAGATTTGATAATTTTAAATACGACACTATGACATGACAGGTAAACGGTATGAAATATTATATATATATATATATATAAACGACATGGCTTAAAATTTTAGCAAAATTGTATATAAGTTTGACAAAAACTTAAAAAAAAAATGTTTTATGTTTAGCATGTGACGAAAATTTGATATGAAAATTTTCATATTTTATACGTGATTGAAACGAAATAAATATGACATGAATACACAAATTGCCACTACTGTAATTAGGTGTAGTAATAGTAGAGCTGCTAACCCATTTATCAGTCTCTGAATCTGGAGAAAGTGGAGGAGGAATGTGCTTCAATAGTCCAACATCATCTGATCTAATATCCACCACATCGGCTTCTGATCTAATATCCACCACATCTGCTTCTGACCTTATATCCACTACCTCTGCTTCTGACGTTATATCCACTATCTCTGCTTTTTTTACCACCAATTCGCCATCCTTAATTCCTCTCAATGCCTCCAGCACTTCTTCCATTGAAGGTCTCATATCCCTCTCCTGTTGCAAACACCGGAAAGCCAATTCTGCAATTGCTGTAATCATTGTTTTCAAAGCATGATCATTCTCAAACCCAAGTGACGGATCAACCAGTTCATGCAATGCATGATTCTGGATTCTGCTGATAGCCATGTTAGCCAAATTAATATCATGTCTGTGCCTATTGGTATCCACAGCCTGTTTTGCTGAAATAAGCTCAATCAAGACCACTCCAAAACTATAAACATCACTTTTCTCAGTGAGCTGGTAGCATTGGTAATACTCAGGATCAACATAGCCAGGTGTGCCTTGTGGAGCAGTCGAGACATGAGTAACATCATTAGGAAACAATCGTGAGAGACCAAAATCAGCCACTTTTACATGGCAATCTTTGTCTAAGAGAATGTTGTTGGTTTTGACATCACGATGTATAATATCTGATGAATGGAGGTAAGCCAGTGCATTTGCTGTCTCTACAGCAATACTCAACCTAACAGGCCAAGCAAGCAAACCGGAATTTGACAGCTTTCCATGTAAATGATCAGCCACAGTTCCATTAGGAATGTACTCATAAACAAGGAGAAGTTCTCTGCTACGTCTTGAGGTGCATCCATAGAGTGTGACAAGGTTTGGATGGCGTATGCGAGTGAGGATTTCAATTTCGTTCATGTACTGATCAACACGCTTGAAATTGCTCTCGAATAGGCGCTTAACTGCAACTACACGCCCATCATTGAGTACACCTGATCAAGCAAATCGTAGGACAGTTAAAATAGAAGAAATAAAATACTTAAGACCAGATCCACATACATATAGGTAGGATTTCCACCCATAAAGATTGAAAAATAAGAAAATTTAAAGAAAAATTTTCCGCTGAACACCTCCAATTTTTTCAAGACATTCTTTTCATCAATAAAATTAGTAAATTAAGTTTTTTATATAGTATAGTAGACACACCCGAAAAAAATCCTGGATCCGTCATTACTAGAAATATAAGAAAATTAAGTTTTAGAAGTTAATTTCTTACCGTAGTAAACAGTTCCAAAGCCTCCTTCTCCAAGTTCTTTAGAAGGATTGAAATTATCAGTGGCTTCCTCAAGTTCTTCATAGCGAAAGACATGAGCTCCAAAGTAGGTGCTCCGTTTTTCAAGGTCATCTAAATTTGAGGTGGGATATGAAGGAATGCTTTGAGACAGATTAGTTGTAGAAGTAGGTGGTCCTTTGCTTGTGCTCGAGGGAGGTGTAGGAAGGTCTCTGCTCTTATCTTGGTCTGCAATTTTCTTTCTCCGTTGTTGCCTGTAGCGTAAAATTCCCATGCCCAGTAGTATACCAACTATAGCTGCACCAGCTATTGCAAGGCCTAAAGATCAAGCAAGAGATTGCTCAACTTCTTTTCTGCAACACTAACATTTCTGGAAACAATTGAAAATGTTAATAATGGTACCGAATAATACCTATTGGAAGGCTGACATCCTGCTTGTTTGTATCTGCAAAACAGTAAAAAATCTCAACATGTTAGTTGAATATGAATGGTTCATAATTTGAATGCAATTAAATCCTAAATTAACAACAAGCTGTAGCCCACGGCCAATGTATGCCAGAACAAAAGCATTGAAAACTGGATTACTACATATTATGTGCTCTGATAACCATTCCAGACAGTTGAAAGCTTCAGCACTGTTGCCTGATTGGTGACCGAAGCTCTGGCTTCAAGATAGTTGAGTTCTTAGTTTATATATTTTGAACGTTACTTTTTAAGTTAGTCAAGATGCAGAGACCCATCAAGATGCAGAGACCACATAAAAGCCAATAGATTTAGTAGCATTCAAGGCACACTTCAAGGGCCCTATATGAAACATCCTGGCAAATGAATTCAACCATTATTTCTTGTCACCTGTTTGCCCCATAATATTTTAACTATATATGACTGTAATTCAAAACTAAAAGGATGTTTTGGGGCTAATTGGCAATTCAGAGCATTCAAAATGTTTCAATTTGAAGCAGAGGCTCTAACCAAGAGATCATCACCAACAGCTATGCAAGATAATTTGAGCTTCCCATAAATTAAATGAATCAAAACAAAGGGAAACCTATAAAAATCCAACTCAATAGCATTCAAATTCTTCCGAGAGAAATGTAGGCCAAGAACATGACTCTTCCATACACAAATATCAACCAGAACAGAAAAGTTTGAAAAGAACGAAGCAGAGCTAAGTCGAACTCCTTAAAATAGCAACTTCAAAAACCTTAAATACGTCAAAAATACCTTTCGTGTCACAAATCCTATCACCACAAATACAAACAGCTCTACCCGAAAGCCACCCACACTCCCCACCAGAATCAGGACACTTGGAACACTCATCGCCTTGAGGAATAGTATAATTCACATCAAACCCTTCCATCAAAACCTCCCCAAGCAATGATCTATTCCTTAGAAGCGCATTCACTGCACTTCCCAGTATCGGCACTATAACACTAACATTGCATTGTATAATTTTAAACACTGGATCACTCGGAACTGGACCAACAACGTAGTAAGCTCCAGTATTGTTACATGAGAACAAGTTAAGAGGATGGAACGAGGAAGAGTTCAGGGAGTAACAACCGTAAAAAAGCGTTAAATTTTGGTTCGCTGAAGTTAGGGTGAAGATAGTGGAATTTAGAGTGGTATTAGTAAAATTTAGCATGCATGGGATTGGGTTGTTGTAAAGGTCAGATCGGGAGAGTGTCATGGTTTGAGTTTGGGGATCGAGTTTGATTACTCGGTAAGTCAGTGAGTCGGATAGTAACTCGAGGATGGTGTTGTTTGAGCAGGTCAGGCGGAAACCGGGTGGACCACAGTGTGCTGGACGTGGGCCGCCGGTGAATGGGTAGCCAAGGTTTGTTATTTCGCCGCATGAGAAGGTCTGGTTGCAGCCCGACAAGGTGGAGTTATCGGGCAGAGGAAACGCCGTCGTATGGTGGAGGAAATGGAGGAGGAGGAGGAAGAGGAGGGGAGGGGTAGGGATTGGATGCATGGGGGAGGATTGTGTTGGAGGGGAGGGAGTGAGATGGCAATTGATAACCAGGGTGGCTAAGTTGTTGGGTGTTTTGACCTTTGACCACAAAAGGCTTAAATTGTTGACTTAGATTTCGAAAGGAGGCTTGGGTCTAGAAACAGGGGGGAAAAAAAATCAAGGCAGGTTTTATTTGTTAGCCCTTGTGTTTGGGCTTTGGTTGGTCAGTTGGTATTGGTAATGTGACATCTTTGAATAGTTCAATAACAGGTTTGAACGAGGATTAAAATAAAGTTTGAGACAGATGGAAAGGCTGTTGGAACTATAGTTTATTAGGAAAGTTGTTGGAACCTTTCGGTGTGCTTGGGTGAAGAGCAGGTTGGACTTGGCAAAGCTTTTGGTGAAAGGTCAATGACCAGTTTTGAAGAAAAAAGAGAAGTTGCTCTAACAATCTGCAATCGGCTGGCAGCTGCACAAAACATTACAGTACATGGCTTTGGTTTGTGACTTTATTTACTCAACTTATGAAACCATTTTTTAACTGATAGTAGTATATTTTGAATAAACAAAAACAACCTTTGAAATCATATTTGATTTTCTAATAAAAGTAAAAGATTGACTCAATAGCTAAGAGTAGGGGTGAACTCAAGTCCAATTGAGTGGGTATACTGTCAAGATCAAAATTTTGGTTTTTACTCGAAAATTCAACATTCAAAATTAAATCTATTTCAATCGAATTTTATTTTTATACTTAGAGCTCGGTTTGATAGACTCAATTGAGCTCGTTAAAAATATAAATAATTATATTAAATATTATATTTTTATCGTTTATGTATATTTATTAAATATATTAAAAAAATAAAATTTTAATTAAATTTATAAACTTTTCAAATTAAATATTAAATTATTTGAACTCAATTTCGTTAATTATTCAAGTACTTTAAATACAATAATAAATGAATCAAGTTTAAATTTTTTTTAATTGAATTTAAATAACTCATAAATAATTTGACTCATTTACGTCTCTAATTAAACAATAAAAGAATTATACTAAGCTTACAAACTAAAAAAGAAGAATCTATAATATGCAGAGGTATGTCACACGAATATAAAGTCTCTCACATCTTTAGAACATTTCATTATTCGTACGATACGAGTATGATAATTCAATTTTCAAAATTAAAATAAAAAATTATTAAAATATCATGTATCCATGTGAGACACGCACATATGTCCGATGGCTCTATCTCGAGTTCATGTAATATAAAAGCTGAGTCAAATTCTGAATCGAACACCTCTTGAAAAAAATGAAAATTTTGAAAAAACAGAGAAAACAGAGAGGACAAAAAACAAATGGAAAACGTTGAATTTTTGAGCTTAGCTAGTTGCACAAACAACTGATATCATAAGGCGTCTAAAGCTTGTGGCTGTGTGTGGTCAACTTGAATGGCATAAAATAGCCGACAAGAAAGTTTCAAGATGAGACGCCACTGGGAATCCAGATAACAAATTAAATGTCCAAATCAACCATGAACTTGTGGTTCCTATTAATTAAGCACTTATGTAACACACCTTGAATCTAGAAGGGCCTCGTTAGTCTTCCTATTCTAGTGCTTGAAATACATTTTCTATACTTCTATTGGCCAAAAACTTAACTAAACCAACCTAAATTTATTTTTAAATCAATTTGATTTTTATTATTATATTTGATGCTGTTAGAATTTGAATTTGATAATTAAAATTAAAAATTTAATATTTTATTAATACATTACGTTATTATTAGTAAAATCATATTTTAATAATAAAAATATTTTAAAAAATAAAATTAATTAAACTTAAAAAAAACTCGATAAATGAATATTAAGATATTTAAATTCAGCTAGTTAAATAATCTAACTCCATTTACTATAACTTGGTTTCCTAATGGTCGAGCTAAATTTAAGTTCTTTTCAAACTGAACTTGAGTAGCTCTCACGAATAACTGTCAAATATACGCCCCAATTTGGAGTAAAGGTGAAAACAAACTGAAATTTTCATACCAAACATGTTGAGTAGATCACACTGTCAATCAAGAAAAAGGAGGTGGATGACTATGGGAAAGGTACAATTAGAGCTTCCGACTGATAGGTTGGAGCTTGTAGCGGAGGTAGAACAAATTTAACAACAGATGTAAACGTTTTAATGATGAATTATAGAAGATTTCAGTTTGCAGCCAAAGAAAACTGTTTCTGTTTAGGAAATTCTGATCACTAATGCTAGCCGGAGGAGTTTTAGTCATCCTGATTGTAAATCTCAGGCGATTTCAAAGAGATTTGGATACAAAAAACACTTTCACAAACTTTTCATGATGAGCTATGGCATTATGGATATGCATCTACCATTGGAATTTAACTTTCTTAAGAAAAGATTTCGATCAGGATGGGCAGGTTTAAAGTTAAAAGCTAGGATGTGGAGTTTGTAGTGGGAATGGAAGAAATTCAACGGTTGAAGCTGTCAAAGTGTCAAGTTAGTCAATAAATAGAGGAGAAACAATTTCTCTTTGAAAATTTCCATAACTACTGCCTAATGGATACATACTCAAGAGATATATAACTAACACTATTTTTTTTTTTTTTTGCACATAGGAGGTGACAATAGCAAAATGATTGAAGGTGTTGGGATTTAAATTTAAATTTGTTAAGTGTTAATTATTAAACTAATTGTATGAGGCAACTAAATTAAACTCTAGATTCGTACCTAATCCTATTTTTGAATACAAAGGATTGCTTCCGGGTAATTGATTTCATGATGATGATGATGTTAAGGGGTTGATATATAGACAGATATATAGTTTGGATCTAGTGAAATTTGGATACATTATTCTGTCAGAAGACTCAGCACTACTGGTGAAGAAATGAATAAAATTAATCCTTTCCATTTTTTTTTTCTCTAAATAGCAGGCTAATGGACAGTACTAATGATCGATCTCTATCATCATCCCCACTTAATGAATAAAGAATCAGAACAAAAACTATATCCACCTAACACTTAATTGTTTGGACGAATGGAAGAAGAACGACATCCTAATCAAATTTGTTTTCTGGTTTCCGGCTTGGGTTCGCCAAAAGGCCTTAATAAATGAGACTAAAAGCTGCTGCATGACTCTTGGAAATGAGACTAAAAGTAGGAGATTTTAACAGGCATAGCGTATAAGAAGGAAGATATACCTGGGGAGCTTGAGGAACAAACGTCCAGATACGATCCATTTGAGCAGTAACATAAAAATCCACCCAAGGTGAGGTTGTACCCACACTGCCCACGAGAGTTCAGACACCGATTACAGAAAGTATCGTTTGCAGACCAGCGAAGCTCAAAACCAGCTGTAAGCGCTTCTAGCAGAGTATCCGAATTTCGATTTGCCTCCAACGACTGAACTTGTGAATTCAGGACAGGAATAATGACACTGTTGTTGCAAGATCCTAAGGATGTGCTTATTAAAGTAGCAACGCTCTCCAAGGACGTTTGTGTGATATTCCTTGTAACATAATAACCTATGACATCTGTTGAGTTTATTGTGCAGTTAAATTGACTTGAAATCCACTGAAGATCTTGTAGACCTGGAACTGTAAGGGTATGACAACCATAATACAGCCTTATATCCAGAGTATCGCTGTTGATTTCAAAAGGGCTGTTAGTGAAAGTGGAGTTGATGAGAGAAGTTGGACAAATACTGCCAGAATAATCAGCTCTAGCTACTTCAAGGACTTGAGAATCATATATAGACCGGACATGGTAAGTAGCTGAATTGATTGTAATCTCTGGAGTATTTTGATTGCAATCCAGCCTGAAGCCAGGGTAGCCACAACTTTCTGGCCGATCCAATCCCCAGAAAGGATAACCAATATTCTGAATGTCTCCACAAGAGAATCGTGCACTGCAGCTCGAAATATTCCCATCATTGGCAAACACAGATTGTGCGGTAAGAATCAGGATCAAACTTATGATCATGAAGAACCAAAACTTGGATGGCAACAAAGGGGGATGCATTTTCGGAGAAAGCGGGATCAAGAGACGACTTGGTAGAGAACAAAAAATACTTAGGATATAAAATGAGAAGTTGAAGATGAATTGGTTTTAATCATGATAATCAAGTTGGTGGTCTTTGACGAAGTGAAGGGTGAAATTTTTCAAAAGGAAGCTTCAATTGGCAGCATTAAGCACCGGTCAATGGAATTTTAGGTAGCCTAGAAATAATATATAGTAAATGTACGTAACCTAGTCTAATTTATAGTTGTGAACCACTCGATATATACATATATATATATATATATATATATCTTTGAGTCGCTTGTGGTAAATCTTTAATTCTATATATTCTAGCTCTCTCAACTCCCAAGACTCAGAAATATAAACTCAGCTCGAGTGCTTAAATAGTCAAAGAAACCGGCAACTGGAAAATACAACTGATTTTATAATTGAATAAATCAATATCTAAATAGACTAAATGGTTTTCTTGGGCTTAGAATTACCAAGGTCAACAAGATGACACCAATCTTCTAAAGTTTTGGTGCTTATACAATAATCCTAACATCCAGGGCATTGATTTTAGGGGATATTGAACTAATGTCACACAGTTGCTCAGTAAAAGAATTCAGGATTGGTTTGAATCCTATTGAGAGCAATCCAGAGAAGAAGTTATGGTTCAAGGTTGAAATTATTTGAGGAAGAACCATTATCAAAGCCTAAAAATCTCCTAACAGAAGAATGTGATTAATCTGAAAGATACAAGGGGATATGAGCAGAATCCTTGAAATTCTAAAGCCTAGAAAAGCAAGCATAAGATCAGGGGAGACATGGGATTTGATGGGCAAATAGAGGAAGTTTGGTCCCTATGCATGTTTGAATTACAATCTGAAGCTTCATTTATAGTCAGCTACTGTGTTTTTCTGAGCATGGAGATACTGCTTTGTAGCCTCCCGCAAATGGTGCTTTCAGCATCCAGCAGTGATCAAATGTATGAGCAATAAAAAAGGGGGAAATATTTCATTTTGGCCTGCTGATGGAGTTTGTAACTGGAAAGAAAACAAGCGACAAATGGAATTAGAGGCTGAATTGGTATCAGATTTTGGGGAAATCAGCCGGTCAAAATATTGAGAGTTAATGGAGTCATCTCATTAACTGCTTAAAGAGAGTAGGATTACAAACTCATGCTGCAAAAGCTAAATTTGATGCAACTGCTATGAAACATTGAATAGCGGAACGAGCCAGACCAAGAGGGTTATGACACTCTGGAAAGGGTTATCTTCTCTCAGGAGTCAAGATACTATTCACCACCAGGAAGTTTTCTAAAACATACAGCTGAACAAAATTACAGTAGAAGAGCTTGAACATACCTTGTGTTGTCGGTGAACATGTGGTTTCACTAGGTTGATCACGGCAAAAGCAAATGAAACTATTTGTAGTCTGATTATATCCGCAAACCCCATCAGAATCTGTGCATCTTCTGCATTGATCACTATCTACTTCCCATTGCAATTCAAAACCCCCCTTCAAAGCATCATTCACAGTCAATGGGTTCACCACTAGATTCTGAGCTGCTGCTTCATAAATTGGAACTAT